TAAAGGTTCCACTGATAAGGTTGTTTGCTGTAAAAGATGATACTGATATAATAATTTTAATTCCAGAAAATTCAGTGAGCAATACACTGTCAAATTACAGTTTTCCTGCACTCCAGTGGTTCTCAAGTTTTTTTTTTTTTATTAATGTTCCCCCTGCCAAGTATCCCCTGACCAGCGCAAAACCTTATATTAGGAGGAGGTACAATAAAGTGCTGCACCATTAGTGTCTCAATTATGAAGAAACACTCTTATATGCTTCATTTCAGCTGTTAGAATCCATCACTTAATTCAGTTTGGTTTCACCAAACTTGCATTTGCATTGAATTTAACTTGCAGTATATTGTAGTATGAACTTGTATTATTATTATTATTGGAATTGTGCCTTACTAATCACTTTTTAAATTATTATTATTTATTCTTTTAAATGTCACATACCCCCTGCAGTACTCCAAAGTACCCCTAGGGGTACGCGTTTGAGAAACACCACCAAAAATCTGTTGACTGACACTTCTATCCAGAGCTTAAAAACCACCATTGCCTCTGATTGTGCCTTCAGGTGGTGTTCCAGATACGCCCTCTGTCGTGGCCTCAGTGGGTCGTGGTGCTGAAGATGTCGATTCCCGTCATCTTGATGGACGAGGCTCTCAAATTTCTGGCACGCAACTACATCGAGCCAGGAAGCCAGATCCAGGTCAGAGACATGCCTGATAGTGGGGTATTTGTATCTCAGGTACAGTGGCCTGTGTCTAACGCTTTCCTTTGCTGTTTAAAAAGTCACTGGAGGAGGAGGAGGAGCTGCAGAGGACGGGGGCTAACGCAGGATTGGTCGGAGCCATGACGAGAAGGCTACGTCAGTCACTGAGGGGCGTGTCCTGGTCGTTCGTCCTGATCTCCATGCCGCTGGTGATCTGGATCTTCAGCCTGGACTCTGACATCACCAACATCTTTTGGGAGTGATGGGAGAAAAGGAGGACGGGCCGCCTGTAGGGGAAGCACTGAAAGACGGGAAGAGGAAAGCTAAAGAGAAGTGGTGGAATAAAGGTGGAGGATTGGGGAAAGGAATGTGTGAGGATGAGGAAACAAGATGAAGAGAAGAGAAACAAAGATGATGAATACTTTGCAGAGAAAAGAGGATAAATATTTAGCCAACAGACAATCAGAAAATAACAAGAAATATAGTGCAAGGTAGTTTTAGACCATCTCTTCCTCAGTAATTAAAGGTGCTATGTGTACGTAGCTAATCTAAGCTAGTCTCTCTTACTTACTTGTATGAGCTTTCCCTTGTTTTTGGCTCTAAGGACACCATTGTTGGTCCTGCACTTTGGTTCAGAGTGAATTCAGATACCTCTGAAGGTGTACTGCAATGCTAACACAGCATGCCTAAGTTACCATTCGCATGTTAGCATGTTTTTCGTGTTGTAAAGCAATTCAGCATTTGAATTTCCCTCCTAATTTGACGTTACAGCTTTAAGACCTTAGTGTAAACGTGTAAGTCAGTTGCTAGGAAACATCCGTAGCACTGTCCAATCGAATACAATCAACAGGAAGTCATTGTTGTCAGAAGCTGTAACATAATTCCCTAAAATGACAGTTTTAGACAGCCAGACAATATGTGTTTGCCTGACAACCTTTTAGAAATGTAGGGATGGCTTTGCTTTGTTTGAAGGTTAGTAGTGTTCACATAGGTTATAGGTAACCAACCATTTAGCGTGAGATTATCAGCATTACATTTTGTAATTTGAGATATATTGTGTTCTTTGTGAAATGTAACTTAAATCTAACGTCTTCTCAGTTATTGTCTTCTAACAGTTTTTGTTAAGTGTATAGTCAGATATGTCAGATATTTCACTCTTCAGTCTAAACACTTCAAATATTGCAAGTTAACATTTGGTCAGCTAGCTAAAGAAAAGGTTCCACCCAGCAGTTACTGGGTGTAAATAATACTAACAACTAATCTGTATGTAGGAACTACTTTGCGTGGTAGCATTGAACTTTGGAAAAGTTGGTGCACCAGGTGCAGTACAGACAAAGATCAGAGATGAGAAAAATCATTTGTGTAGCAGAAACGTGACCTGAACCCCAGGTTGGAAAGCACTGGTGTAGATGTTTAATGAGTCCAGAGTAATCAAACCAAGTACACATAGCACCTTTTTTAGATGAAGATTTCTAGTTGAAAAAAGGATTCGTTAGAAGAAAGGGAAAAGCATTGAGAGGTCCAGAATCAAACACAAACACACACACTAACGTTTCATTCACCAGATTAAATATGTACTCAGTAACAGGTGATAACTAGATGTGCAATAGAATCCCCCAAATGGCAGCTGCTGCAGTGCCATTCAGTCACATTAATGTTAGGACTTACTGTAGATACTGTAAACAAGCATTTAGCCAGTGAAGGAAGACTGTTAACAGACCGTTACAGAACACGTCAGCACACATCACACATTGCTAAGATGCTTCAAATCAGCCCGTTAGATTCTGCAGAAACACATCATTTCCTACAGTCTGGGATGTGCTGCTGCTGTCTACAGGTTTGATCTGTTTGAGCCAAACTGAAATTACAGGTGTCAAAACTCCCACACACATAGGTCCGACCAAAATAGGTTGTCTCCGTCCGTACCAAATTAAATCATGGTTCTGTTGGTTTCATGCTTAAAAAACTTTTTTTTGGATGGTTGGAACTTGTAGACCAGTTCAACAAAGTTCTGGCAATTGTCCCACGACGAGGATGTTCATTTGGCCAAACTAGTCTCAAGTAATAAAGTCGTGCTAGGCCAGTGTATTAGCAAGAATCTGGTAATGTGATACGAATCACGATACAGTGGTTACGATTCAATATATTGTGATACTATAAGCAAAGCAATATATTGCAGTTGTTTTTATTGTAAAAGTTGAGTTAAAAATTGCAGCAAATGCAAGTAGAACAGTGGAATCAGCATTTATATTTATCACAGTCTCTGTGACATCTAGCATCATAGCCCTCAGTTTGTTTCCAACACTGCTATCTAGCATTCAGAGGTTCAAACACAAAATTCTCTTTTTGAGAATCAATACAATATATTAAAATATATATAATATAATATTGCAATACGATATTTTTTTTAATATTATCTTACACCCCTAGTTGGTGCTGCTGGTAGTAATGCCATAATAATAATCTAGCAGCAGTGAAATTAATCTGTTCATTTTTCTCCACTCATTCAATGCTGACATCACGCGTCTGTCTACAAACCAATCAGTTGCAAGCAGAGCCGCAGCTCACGCAGATTATGGACTGTAAATCATGTATAGTTCTTTAGTGCATTTGCACAAACCAAAGCTAACCAGATAAAATGTATACAATATAACAAAAACGTAAATTGTGGTTTGGACTTTGAGGTGTGAAAAGACCCTTAGACCCTCACTCTGCTCGATCTACAGTTCAGTATCCTTTGTTGTATTTTTTAGTTGATTGTTACCGACACTGAAAAGCTCTCAGAGTCTTAAATGTAACTTGACTTGAAAAGGCTTTTGCTATTTCTTTAGACATTCTGAGGCTTCATAGACTGACTGAAGCTGAATGTAAGCCTTCACAGCAGGATGAATGAGTTCTATATATTATTTCTATTCATGGTTAAACACAGTAGAGCTTGTTTTGTACATCAGGTACAGTCAGCATCTCATTGATGTGACTGCTACATGTGTGTAAGATAAATGGGTTAATATGGTTCTTAATGTTATGGCTTTAAATATATTGTATGTGTTCATTACTCTCACTACATACATCCCACTCACTACACTGCAGCACTGTTTCTTTCTTTCAGTTCTTTACTTCTCTTCCCTCATGCCTGTTGACCACAGGATCTTTGTTAGTGAATGATCCCATACCACAGTCAAACAGTAAGCCTGACAGTGAGTGAGTGTTTCATTTAAATGTGTTTTTTTTTTTTTTTTTAATGCAAACCAGTGACCTGTCTGCCATTTTCTCCAGTGATGCCATTGTGACATCTCACTCTGTTTGCCATTGAAGGGATTTTTTTTATTTGTGGAAAAAACGTTTTTTTGATTCATTGCAATAACTGTTGTTGTAATCCCATTGTACAACAGTGTTTAGGGACAGAGTTGGAGAATAAAGCCACAATATCTGGAGAAAAAAGTATATGATATGAAAGTAAAAATAAAAAATTAAAGTCATAATATTTTAGGATGAAGTCATACTTTTGCTTGCAAGAGGTTTGTGTTTGGTCCTTTTCCTGTGAGCGTATACAGATCAAGACATTTCACCTCTGTCCCACAAAATCAAAACTTCGCTAAGTGTGGCTTTTATTCTACATTATGACTTTATTTAATATTGTGATATTTTCTAGTAAAATTTGTGCTTTATTCTGGTAATTTTATTTAACCCTTCCTAAGTCCCGCCCCTTTTCGCTCTGTGCTCTGTGTAACAGTCGAGCAAGCCTCGGTCAGAACTTCAGTCTATCTTTGAACCTTCTTCAAAATGTGGTTGTCTCTTCAACACAGAGAGCCTAGCACATAGCATATCTCAGTACAGGAAAGGAGAAAGTTGACTGCGGTTCCAGAAGGGGCAGGACTTAGGAAGGGTCTTCATTTTCGTAATATTAAGACTCGTTCTCACAAAATTTTTACTTCTTGTGATATTATTAAATAATTTCATAACATTTCAATTTTATTTCTGGTCATTTTGTGACTTTTTCTCATAAAAAAATTTGAGACCCTATTCTCATAACATGACAACGTTTTTCTCAAAATATTGCAACTTTATTCTGGAAATTTCAGATTGTTTGTTTTTATTGTGTTGTTTTTCTAAAAGTGACCCTGACAGTAGGTCGCAGGGTCTTTATTTTACTATTTAGTAAAAACATAAAGCTGTTGCTTAGAGTATAGAAGCATTCAACTTTCTGACGTCAAAAGCTGCTCTGGAGGTGTAAGACCAACTCGCAACAGGAAGTTTCTTTGAGTTTTTTGTTTTGTTTTTTAATTACTACTACTTGTTAATTTTCCATAGACTTTTTTGCTTCTTTGCTGCCCACAGTTCTGCATCTTGTTTGTTTGTTTTTGTTTAATTTGTGTTTCTCACATTCTTGAAAATTTCAAAAATGACTAAGAGGATGTTTGTTGCAATATAATATTTTTGTTTTGATACCATTAAGGCAGAGGAAAACACTTGTAGATGCACTTAGTAGTGAGTATTTATTTTTTATTATTTATTATTGTATTTTTCTCCAAGGCTGTATTATGTCATGACAGCCCTGCTCTGAGTCTCCAACAGTTTGTACTTTATTATTATGGTTATTATTAGCTGACACCTGTCTTTAGGAGGCTTTATATGGTTCTGTTTAAATAAAGGTTTAATAGAAGAACTTCATAATTAGAGAAACCACCTTCTTTCCCTCTCTTCCTCTCTGCTCCCTCAACCAACATTTACACTGTAGGGAGCACCAATTTGTAGATTTTTTTTTTTCTTTCATTCACTCTACTATCCAAGAGTTTGTTGTCATTGGAAAGGATGTTACAGGATAAAAACAACGATAAATAAAAACAGTTCAGGATTCAAGTGTGGTGTGCTCTTTTGAAACATTAAGTGCTGTGTTAGAACCATACAACCTTAACAATTCTGTTGGTTTTTTTTATCAGTTTGTATCTCCATTCTTGCAGGAGTGGTTTGTAAAGGCTTCTTGCTGCAGTATCTGATGGCTGTGCTGACCACATGATGGGGCCAGTGAGCAAGATACCACTAATGGCAGGTGGTGGTTCTCCAACATGTCAGCTTTTCAGGAACGAAGCTTTACAAGCAGAGGGTTTTAATGATTTTATGACATTCTTAAATTCTTACTAAATTATTCTTAAAATCACCAAACAGGAGATATCAACTGACAACACCATCTGAGACAATGTAGCAGAGGCTTCTGGTGCAATAGAGTCAAAAAGTGTGTGTGTGTGTGTGTGTGTTTTAAGGTCAGTGGGGTGGGCGGGCAAGATTTGAGCTCCATTTATAGACATACATAGAGAGAATGAGAGAGAGAGAGAGAGTCTATGTCAATGCACGTGTGCCAGTGAATACAGCTGCCACACAGGGGGAAGGATATCACACTTTAAAACCTCCAAAAGAAAGATTCAACTATAAAAAGAATCAACCTCTACTGGAACAGCACAACTTGTGAAGTAAGTGACTTTCAACATGTTGCACAGCTGGGATTGCTTCCTGCTCATTTTGACACATGCAGACAAATGTGAAGGGAGCTTCCATGACGCTGACTGAGTTTTGTGGCTGTGTGGGATTACACTGGAGCTCCTTCTGAGCAATGCTGGATAGTCCTGAACAACAGAATTAAATAGTTTTTTAATGTTGCAGTACCTTGCTGGTAGGTCAACTACATCCATATTTACAGTGATAGAAGTACCCTCTAAAAACAAATATTTTGGCACAATAAAAAAAGTGTGTAGAGTAAACTACTGAAATAAAGCTTATCTAAGCTCACCTGTTAAAAATATTTTGAATCTGAAATTTTCAAACTAAACTTGAATATATTAACGTTAGGTATAAATTAATGACTTCTTAAAGAGTACGGTCTAGACCTTCTCTATTTAAAAAGTGTCCTGAGATAACACCCGTTATAATTTGGCACTACACAAATGAAACTCTATTGAATTAGTCATTTGTATTAATTATTGCTGTTTATTAAACAAATGTTCAGAGAAGTATTTTAGAAGTTACATTCTGCTTGGTGCAATATACCCCCGCCTGGACTGTAGTTTCTGAATTTCGCTGTCTGACTGATGGACCAGAGCTGACATTACCGTGCTGTCCCATAAGTAGTGGCATATTTTATTTTTATGTATGACCTGTGAAGTCACTGTATGACCTTGAGAGATGGCAAACATCCCACATGTAGGTCCATAACCGCACTGTGGGGAAATGCACCAGGAGAAATAAAAACCTATAGAGAGCATGATCTCAAATAAGAAAATGTTTAGATATAAGTTTAGGAAGGATGTACATAAGTTCGCAGATGCATGTATTTTTCCATTCAAATTCAAATAAAACCGCATTAATTGATCACAAAAAATAAAATTTAAAAAATCACAAAAATTAACACTGCTTCTGAGTTTGGTTTGATTTTGCCAAAACTGTTTTAGGATCAGTTAGTCTCCTCTCCTGTCAATCATCAACAGCTGTGATTCATCTCTTTTTTCAAAAGAACACACTGTATCACAAACATGGTCAAAAGTAAAAGGTGTGATATATATTTTCTTCTGTCAACAAAGATTTTCTGATGTGTAAATGGAGTTAGTCATTTATTAACACAACTGAGATGGTATCACTGTCACGTCTAATTTGTGGCATGTCTAATTTTGGCTCATTCCCTCCTACCCTTCATTTGCAGTTCTTTTTTTATTATATTGAAATTATTTATTACTTTTACACTGTAAAACCAGATAAACTGATTATACAAAAAAAATGTTGAAACTGTTTACATCAAAAATATTAAATAAAACTAACTCAACTTTGTAAGAAAACATTCTTGATCAAGTACGTTAGCTCATCTTCATCAGTCATTAGCTTGCTAGTTAGCTAGCATTTTACGACGGAGCAAAACACTAGCTAGCTAATCCAATTGTTAGCTAGCTAGTGAAGTTACATATTGCTAACATTAACGTTGGCTAACTTGACTACTGTCGCTTTCATCTTTCAACCATCTTAAAACTTTAAATGAGCCTAGCACATAGCTTATCTAATGAAGCATTCCATTTTAACTGGGCAAGTCTTTTTTTTCAGTTAAGTCAGTTAATTTAGTCATTTTCATTTGTAGTGTGAAAACAAAACACCTAGAAAAAGTAGTCCTACGTAATTCATTAATTACTTCTTAATGTAAATATTTATTTTTGGGATGAACTAAAGTCAGATGAACAGATTAACTTTTGTATTTAATAAACCTTTGAACTCATCCATCTTGAAATGAAAAGCCCCACGTGCCATTCCAAACAACAAGTATGCACACATACAAACACATACATACACATACATACACATACACATACATACACATACACACATACACAGGTCATTAGATTACGTCTCTCTAAGCCAAGTCACAATTCACAGCAGACTTGTTTCCCCTACATATCCTGGTATTATTGTTTGTGTTTTAAGAAGAAGAAGAAGAAGAAGAAGAAGAAGAAGAAGATATACTTCATTGATCCCCTAGGGGG